TGGCCTTTCTCTCCATGCAGCTAACTTGGACTTCCTCACAGCGTGGCAATCTCAAGGTAGTTAGACTTCTCATCCAGCAGCTGGTTTCCAAGAAGGTGTGTTCCAAGAGGGGCTAAAACAGACGCTTCAGATCTCTGAAGGCCCAGCCTCAAAAGTTACACGGCGTCACTTCACAGTTTATTGACTAAAGCCCATCGTAGGGCCAGCCCAGATTCAAGAGAGAAATCCATTTTACCTTTCAACAGGAGTCCAGAGGATATGTGGCCATCTTTAAAGCATCCTCTTTATAAGTTTTCACATTCCTCTGAATACTAACTACTTCTTCCCCTAAATCTTCCTTCCTTCAGCCTCCATCTCATGTCCCATTCTTCCCCCTGCCCACAGCCTTCCATTATTTCAGCTGCTCACCCTTTGCAATTTAATCTTCAGTGAACACAGCTGTATGCAGGCCCACCCCTAACATATGTATGGCCTGTATCTGCTATGTCTGTGTCCAGACAGTTAAGAGTTAGAAATCAAGCTAACAAACTTTGAAATGAAATATATTCTGTCCTTCTCCCTTAACAGATATTCCTTTGTAAGGAGCTTGAAAACCAGATTTAGAATTCTGACTCCTCAGAGCTCTGCACCAAAATATGGAGCCTAAGAAAAGCCAGTTCCCAGGCTCTGTGCACCATCGCAAAGGGCCCTCATGCACATTTTTGTGGATGGATACCCCAGCCCACACATCCAAACTCTAAACATACCTTCTGCAAACAGTCACTTCGTGGCCAATCCTAGGGATGCACACCGCAGCACAGTAGTCGGGGAAGAGGGCCGCACAGGCCCAGGAATCAGGCTCAGGACTGTTTGGGCAGGAAAACCTGGGGTTTGTGTTTCTCAGTATGTGGTCTAAAGGAGGGGACATCCCTTTGGCTTCATGGACTCCTCACCTTGAGGACGAGCATGCCTGCAAAGGATTGAAGCAGGGCCCCTCCAAAGTGTGAGGCCAGGGCCAGGGACATTTTCCTGGGGGTGAGGACAGTGCTGCACTGTGTGTGTCGGCCCCAGCATTGGGCATGCCTTTCACAGATGGGCTAGGACGAGCCCTGGTACTGCTCCACCCCCACCCCCACCCCCCATCTGCCTCCTCTCACTGCTTCCTCACTTGCTGTGCTTTCAAGGTGGCGAATTCCCGAATAAGCTGCTGACTTCCCGCCCTGGCAGGGCCCGGCATGTATTTTATTTTAATCCTTCAATAGGTCCTTATGGCTCTTGATAAAGTACAGACTCTTTAACATGGCTTACATGGTCCTAAGTGACATGGCCCTGCATATCTCTATTGTTTTATCTTCATCACTCCCTCTCCCTGTGGTCCAGCCACACTGACTGCTTGCTATTATTTAAAACAAGTCCCCAACCCCGTAGGTTGTGGACCCGTACCAGTCCATGGCCTGTTAGGAACCCGGCCGCACAGCAGGAGGTGAGTGGCGGGCAAGGGAGCAAAGCTTCACCTGTCTTTGCAGCCTCTCACCAGCAGTAACATCACTGCCTCAGCTCCACCTCATCATCAGGCATTAGATTCTCATAGGAGCACCCATTCCATGCAGTCTTCCTAAACAAAGACAAGGCTTTACATATAGCACCCCGCTTCTAAGGACCAAGCCTTGACCTCCCCTCCCCTCCCCTTCCCTCAGTCTCGCTTCTCAGTCTGGCTTTCCTCAGCTACCAGCACTAAAGCATGGAGGTAGTTCCCAGAGCCGATGGCTCCATCCTAGCTCATTCGGTCCATGGCCGTGACCGTTACATCCTTTTCAGTCATCTTTGTGCCCACATCCCTGGTGAACATCACTTAGCTTAAGATGGACCAATTCTCCGTCACAGACAAGACCATTTAAAAGTGTGCTGCTGTCCTCTACCAGGCCAGGTCACCCTCTGCCAACCTGAGCCGCCCACCCAGTTGGTCCTGGCATCAGCATACCCTCAGCCACACCCAGCCTCTCAGGCCTGCCTCTCCCCAGTGGGAGTCTTGGCCTGTTGTGAAAGTCCACACTACCTGGGGAACGGGTAAAACTACTTGTTATAGTTTATATTTTATATTAGTTATATTTGCTATGATATTTTGTGTGCCTATATTTTTAACTCATAAAATTGTGTTGTGTTATAGCTCATACTTTTCACTTGGCACTCTGTTCCCGAGTTCCTTCCATAGTGCCATATGGACTCTGATCTAAGGGCTGCATAGTGCTCCCCAATGCGTCCTTGGACACTTGGCCTATCAGCTCCCCCAAGCGATGGACCTGCAGATGCCTCTGCTTCCCCCACCCCCACCACAAATAGCATGGAAGGGAACCTCAGCTTACATTCCCTCTTGGGGACTGTGAGAATTTCTTTGAGTAGCATCACCCATTTCCAAACTTTTCTACTTCCCAGACCGGTTCCAGCAGAAGATCTGGAAGAAGCAGGAGCAGAAGGAACCAGAAAGAAGGTGGTGTGTGCAGAGGCTGGGGTGATAAGAGGGGCCCAGAGCATGCTGGGCCTTTATTGTTGGCCATGGCAAAGATTTTAGTTTTTATCCTAAGAACAGGGGGGAAGCCACTGAATAAAACTAAAGCCAGGGCTCAGAATTTTTTGTTAAGGTAACAGTGGGTCTTGAGCACTGGAAGGGCGCTTAAAGACCCCGTGTTGCACTCTTTGAGGCCCACGGAGGCAGTGAGATGCCCAGGATCACACTGCCCGCTAGAGGCAGAGCTGAGCTGCTGCTCAGGCCGGACACTTTGCCGATGTCGTGAGGCTCTCGGTTATAGAGGGTCATCTAAGGGCAGCAGCCTCCGAGTGCTTGGGGTTTGTCAGTGCTACTGTCCTGGGGGGTCTCAGGTCGCTCTTGCTCACCTCCTATCTTCTGGACTCCCCTAGACCACCGAGGGCAAGACCCAGGCTTCCGCAGCCATGGGGCCTTTGACCTTCAGATCCCTGCTGTGAAACTTCCCATGCTACCCTCAGAGGCGAGACGCAAACCGAGGGTTAAAGACCTGCGTGCCAATCCTGGTTCTTACTCTCTGGACCCCAGTTTCTTCATCGGTGAAATGGGAGTGGGGAACAAGAGGCTCTCTCAAGTCCGTTCCTTCCTTCCCATGCATTTGTGTTTCAGTCTCAAGCACTTGGGAACTCTTGTATATCATTACCCCAGGGCTTCTCTGTCGGTTCTTTCAGTTCTCAGCATGGGGGCGGGGGATGCTGCACCCTCACAGTTTCATTGACCCTTTCACCCTTGTACTTCTGGGCCTCCGCTCCAGAGAGGCACAAAGAACTGGGCCTTTGTTTGCAGCAACAAAGCTGTTTGGTTCTATTTCAAATAGAACCATTTTATTATGTCCCATCCAGAGAGTACTTGAGTTGCATATTGTTTTGAAAGCTTGTTAGCATTCCGGATTTAATTAACTGGCAGAGACAAAGCTGCCCCACTTCCACCACCCCCAGACCGTGCCCATTCTATCCAAGACCCCATTTGCCAGCCCGCAGCTTCAAAGCCCCTACCCACATCCGGGCGGGGACCATTGTCCTCCTGGAGGGCCCACCTGGCAGATGAAAGGGAAGTCCTTACTGCTGCCTCTCCCTCCCGCTCTCCTCCCCTCGCCTCCCCGCCCCTTCCCTTCCCATCCCCTTCCCCTCTTCCCCCTCCTCTCTAAATTCTGGCTACTATTTATTGAGCTTTCATCCTGTGTGGGGCACCAAGCTAAGTACTTTTTATGTTTTACCTTAAGGTATCCTCAGAATCCAAGAGGCAAATCGTAGTATATCTATTGTCCGGTGGAGAGATTAAGTCACTCACCCAAGGTCACTTAGGCAGTAAATGGCAAATGCAGGCCTCACACCTAAGTCTGTGTGACTCCAAAGCTTTTGCTTCCAGAGACTGCAAAAAGCTACCTCCCTGGAAACAAAGCCACTTGTGAGGACAGGAAGAGCTGCAGTACAGACTTGTAGGGTCAGGTCCTACAGATATTTCTTGTTATTTGGAAAATCTGCCTATGTAGAACATCCACATACAGGTCCCACTCCTGCCTCTTGATGCACCCCCTTCCCTAGTACAGCCTCTCAGGTGGCTGCAAACAGTGGTCAGCCCCCCTCATACAACCCAGACTCCCCTTCTCCAGACTAGGCATCAGACACCATTGGTTCCCAGACCTCTTCCCATCATCTTGGTCTCAGTCTTTCTTTTCTCTGACCCACCCCCACCTCTGTATGCCAGGGTGTGATAGACTGTGCCAAGGGGAGAAGGCCAGTGACTTCTGTCCTGAAATGAGCTGAAGCTCCTTCTCAGGCTGACTTCCCCCAACAAGGCAGAGGAATAAGCAGCAGAGGCCCACCCTGGGGTGGGCAGCATGGAGTCTGGTTTAAGAGGAGAGATTAAACTGCCTGCGTTTGAGTCCTGGCTCTTCTCTTCACAAGCTAGAATGAGCAATCACTTAACCTCTTGGACTTCTGATTTCCTCTCTGTAAAATGAGGACGGTCCTCTCACCTATCACATATGATGGTTGTAAGGACTGAGCCAATATTTGTAAAGTAGTCGCTGGGCACTTAGCACCGTCCCTTGCCAGGCTTGTTAAGAGAAAGGACACCGTAGACTTCTATGGCTTGGAGGAGGCAGAGCTTGCTTAGCCCAAACCTCAGGCCCGCTGGCTTGCATTGTGTGTCAGCCTTGGGGGGTAGGGGGAAGGATGGGGAGAATAGTACAGCTGCCCACCCCACTCCTTTGTGGTATAGCTTCCTCACCTTGTTTGAGGTGAGTTCCCAAAACATTGGCTTTAAACACAACACACAAAATTCCCATACATGGGATTTTCTGACTGTCCACTTGGGCTAAGTTGCAGGTACCCTCCTGCTTCACTGCCTGCCTGCTCAGTGTCGGGGCTGACCACTCCATTCAGCATTCAGAATTTCCTGAGTACCCACCGGGTCTGATATACTTGCTCTCTCTCATTCTTGCTCTCTCTTTTCTCTCTCTTTCTCCCTCCACAAGGCAGCCTCAGGGTACCCAGATTTCTTACGGGGCTGCTGAAGGTTTCTAGAGCAAGTGTCCTGAGAAAACCAGCAGAAGCCACGTGGACTTTTCAGACCTAGCCTCAGCGGTCATACAGCATCACTTCTGCCACATCCCCATCCTTAAGGCAGTCACCCAGTTCAAGGGGAGGGGACACAGACTCCACCTACTGATGGGAGGAATGTTGAAGAATTCACAGACACGTCTGAAGACCACCACAGGAATCAAGTTACAGAGAGGTTAAACAGCTTGCCCAAGTCATGTAGCTATTAAATGGTGAGCATCCATGTTTTATTTCCAGAATCCTCCTCTGCCAAAATGGGTTTCCTTTCCCCATGCCATCCTGCCTGCCTGGGGAATGTAGAGATGGAAAGGACTTGGGCCCTGCCCTCAGCCAGCTTACCATCCAAAGGGATCAAACACTCACTGACAGCCCAGGTCCTTGTGGTCTTGCTACCTCCATCTGTGGATTTGGTAGCTGTCCTGCTCACTGATTAGCGGGACTGAGCATCTGAAGGGGTTGTGGGAAGCCAATGCAGATTCCCAAGACCCCACACCCACCATCAGTTTGCCTTTGCCCGGAGGGGCTGGAAATTTTTCACCAGGGCTGTTCCTGATGCAGGGCAAATCCCCCCAAGTGGGGACTAGAGTCCTGCAGAGAGACAGAGAGAGAGACAGAGAGAGACAGAGATCTTGATTGCACAAAGGAAAGAATCACACACACACCAGAATTAGAGACAGAAGGAAAGTTTATTAGAGAGGGAATAACATGCCACAGACATCGTGGTCTCTTCTCAAAGACAGAATGAGAGGGACAGACGGAAAGTTGATTAGAGAAGGAATAACACTCCGTAGACAGCATGGTCTCCTTTCAAAGATAGAGAATGAGACGCCACATGTTAAAGGAAATCCGGTTTATATGTGATTCTTAGTTTCTACGAATTACAGTTTAAAGATTTTGTTTACCTGTTTTCCTTTGACAGTGTGAGTATGCAGCACTAAAGGTGTGGATACGCAGAGGGAAAAGGGTGCTGGCAATCTCGGCCTTTGTTCTATAGGTTCCAGGTGGCCTGGCCTAGGGAATGAATGGTTGGTTGGGTTTATTTTGTGTAGGGTGTGACTCTGTTTTCCTGTTTTCCTTTCATGGTGTGGGTGAATAGTTAGGTAATAATCCCAGCAGAAACCTTCCTTCGTTCTGTAGGTTTCCTGTGGTCAGGCAGCAGCACATTATAGGCTCTGGTTTAACATTTAGTCGATTTACGTAGTTCTCATGCCTCTTCTCTATAGCATTCTCACTCTTAGGAGTCCGGCTGGTCAGCATTAGCACTGAGACACAAGACATGCTCAGGGCATAGAGCAGGTACTCAGCAAATGTTTGCCAAATGAAACGTCGTTTTGGGGAATTTTCCCTCACCCCAACACATCTCCTCTGACTCCTAGTTTGCTGCTACACACCCCCAAAAGGTAACAGAAAATGGGACCACCACTCCAGCCTCTCCCAGTGAGGACATAGCAGTGCCCTCGCCCAGTGAGGCCCGGCTGTCCCTCAGAACCCAGGGCAGTGCTGAGGGTGTGGCGACGGCCGAGGCAGAAGCGGCTGATTGGGCCCGTTCCTTCTACACTCTTCTACCCCTTCTCAGTTCTCCTGGCTGCAACTCCCTCCGTTCTGCATTTAGGGCCTACCCCAGCAGAACTTCAAAGTGGGCCTGGCCGGTCTGCCCCACCCCATCTCCGTGTGGGTTTCTAGACCTTTCTGTGGACTAGCAGAAAGATCATGGATGGTGGAATCCCACAGACCTGCGTTCAAATCCCAGTTCTGCCAGTTTCTGACTCTGACCCTGAACAAGTGACTTAACCTCTCTGTGCTTCTGTAGCTCCACATGCGAGACTGGACAATAACGTTAACCCTCAGCATGATAATGAGCATAAGGCTCCTGACTTAACCTCTCTGTGCTTCTGTAGCTCCACATGTGAGACTGGACAATAACGTTAACCCTCAGCATGGTTATGGGTATTGATAATGAGCATAAGGCTCATGATGTGCCTGGCTCCGAGTTGGCAGAGTAGGAGCATGAGGAGAGTGAGTCTTATGGGTTAAACCCCTCCACAGGTGAAAGCTATTAGAAAACTGCTCAGGCTTTCCCCTTATCCCACCCACGCTCCCCTCCATCCCCACAATAAGATAAAAGCCGTCATCCTGTACGCCAGTGTCCGTGTCTAATGGTGGGATTTCAGACACAGTGATAGGCTATGGAACCCAGCACCACCTCCCAGATAGATGAGGCCATACTTCTGAAACACTGAGGGGTGGGAGTGTTGGAGATTTCTTTAACATGATGTGGAGAGCAGAATACCTGAATTAGTTTTCATCTAGTGTGTTGGTTATTGTTGGTCAGTGTGTTGGGCACTGAAGACAGACTGCCTGAGTTCTAGTCTTAGTTTATTCATATATTAGCTGACCTTGGGCAAGAGACTTGACTTCTCTGTGCCTCAGTTTCTTCATCTGTAAATTGGGAGTAAGCGTAGCACTTACCTTCTAGGGTTGTTGTGAGGACTAAATATGTTAATATATATAAAGCATTTAGAGCAATGCCCGGCACGTGGTAAACACCCATTATGCGTAGGCTTATAGTGGTTATGGTAGCAGCCAACATTCTGGCTCTGCTGTTGGCTAGCTGTCGACCTTGAGTAAGCCACTTCTCATCTCTGGGCCTCAGTTTCCCTGTCTGAGAAATTAGCAGCCTAGACCAGATACCCCTCAGGGCCTGTCAAGCTCTGACTGACAGTAGTTCTAGAAGCGTGGGCAGGATTGAGTGTGATATTCTGTTGGTCAGGGCCCCCTGTGATTAGGTGGGCATGGCTGGGAGGTCCCCCTGGCCATGTTTGGGAAGGGAAGAAAAGCTGAATGGGACAGAACCAACCTCTCTCCTCACATAAACAGGAACAGGCTGAGCCAGCCTTTTGCTCCAGTTCCGGTGAGTTGGCAGCTGGGAGCTCCAAGGATGAGTCACTGACAGGAGCAGCCACGGGTTCTCCAGCTCAGGTGGTATCAGCCGCGGGGCACGCAGTAGCTGCAGAGTTTAATGGTGAGAATCCAGTGCTAGGTGACAGGACAGGGATCATAGTGTTTCCACATGCCCCAGGTAAATCTAAAGACCATTTGCCTGCAGGCTCTACCCAGGGTCCCTAGAGCTTTGGCCTGGGATACTGAGCTCCTAGGAACCTTCCAGGACCTCTCTTCTCCATACCATATATCCTATGAGGAGCCATCAGCCAGATCAGGTGTAATATCTGTACCACTCCCACCCTACCCTCTTGCAGCTGGTTGGGGTTCAAGGTTCCCACAGATACAGGGACTCCCTCCCTCCCAGACTCTCACTGTCTCCCTGCCTTTGTTGCAGTTACCCCTTCCTGAAGAGCATTATGGCAAAATGGAAAGATCGCTTGGTGTCAGAAAGCCCTGGGTTCGAATGTCGGGTCTGTTGGGCAAGCCACTTAACCCACTAAGCTTCCATTTCCATGCCTGGAAAATCCCCTTCACCCTGTGCAAGAGGCAAGTGCATGAGGAGCTGGTGCGACGTTAAATCACTGTCAGCAGGCCGCCTCTGAGTCAGGGTTTCATGCGTGGCAAAGCAGCTACCTCGCTGTGAACTATTGAAAAGCCAGCCCTTGACACAAGCAGCCGCCTCTCACCGATAAAACGGGCTGATGATGATAATATCTACCTCACAGGGCTGCCGAGAAGCAAATGCAACTGCGCGTGCAGAAGCACTTTGGGAACTGCACAGAGCCTGCCCAGCAAGGTTTTATTGTAATCCCCAAAACAAGATAGTGAGTGGAAGGGTGGGCAGGGCAAGGAGAAGAGCTGACATCATCTCTAGGAGCAGGACCCGAGGCCTACAGGACAAACGGGTCACAGTGGTCCATGCAGGCAGGAACTGTTTCGAGCCCGGCCCAGTGCTTCGCAAAGTGTATGATTGGTGTGTTGGACTCACACATTAATGAGCAGAGACTGAAATCAGCCCATTTCTCCACCTCCCCTACTTCCACCACTTTCTCTCACAGTCCTCTACTCCCCACCACCAAGATCAGGGGTTCTTAACCAAGAACCCCTTCAAAATTTAATGCAGAATATAGTGCGTGTTTGAAAGTATATCTTCCCGAGTAAAGAAATGTTAGATTTCTGCCCAGAAAAGCTTTTAAATAAACCCGGCTCTGAAAGGTGGGCATCTATCAGGTGCTCAGTTAAGACTCTACCAGTTGGATTTATCTGGCCCCCAGGGCTGTGGTTTTAAAAGAAAAAAGCAAAATAACAGCCTCCAACTTTGTCTCTGAGATGTGCACAGGGGCCCCGCCAGCCTGCAGTTTTTCTTTCTTGCAAGTTAATTAACCTGCCATCTTTCATATGCAAACATGGTGATCATGCATCATCGGAGGGACTGTCTTCTGAGCTGCTATTCTGTGACTGGGTGGGTCTCACAGAGACACGCACACTTTCTCAATCTCTTATGTCTCACCATGTGCATTTAGACATGACAGGTGGGAGTCAGGACCCAAAACCTGGGAATATTAACTAGGCCTGACAGTATCTAAACTTAGAATGGTGATCTCTTTTTTAAAATACTTTTTCACACGACAAATATGTGTATATGTGTGTATACATATATATTTATATATATGTGTATTGAAGGAAATCTAGAATATATAAACAGTGAAAAAGAATCACCTCTAATCTCGCCCTCCTCCAAAGAACTGTTGTTAATACCTGGCTTCCATTCTTCCCGTTTGCCATGTGCAACATTTATGGAGCACTTGCTGTGTGCTGCGCATTCACTGTGCTGCGTGCTCTGCAAGCACAGTCTCGTGTTAACCTCTCCTCTTACATCAGGTCTTCTCCACCTTTGTGTGTGCACACTTATACTTTCTTAATTTGTAAGGCCAGGAAGATCATACTGTTTTATAACCTTGTCTTTCTCATCCATAGCATCAAAATTTCTTTCTGCATTATTAAATATTCATCGACAGAGTCATTTATAACAGTGGCATGATGTTTTATTGCAGGCAGGTTCCGTGCTTCTCAGACTGGAGTATGTGTACCCCTGAGGGCAAAGCCACAGTATAAATGTAGCGTATTTTCCTGAAGCATAAATTTGATTCAAAGCTTTGGGAGGAGAAAAAACATATTATTTTAATATCAAAACAAGTACAGATATACCATAGTCTAGAACAAAGAGCACCCATGAATTTTAAAATAAAGCAGCCAAGTTCCAGATTGTGCGAGCTCGTTGTTATTCCCCCAAAGACCCATGTTCCCTGTCCTCTGAGGATGGAAGGAACATGTGAGAAGCACTGAGTTCTAGTTCAAGCCCCTCTCTTTACGGATTAGGCAGCTGAGACCCAGGGAGACAGCGTGTGTGTTGCAGAGCCAGGCCGTGTGGCTCCCGGGCCTGTACCCCTCCCAGCCTTCCATATTTGGCAGCTTCCACCCATGGACTGCTTTTTGAGAGGGTGAGGGTAGAAACCTTTCCACTTGAGTAACCAGCCCTCCTCTGCTTGTCAATAGTGGAAATTTTTGGCTTCCTACATGATGTAGCTTGGTAGCAGGTTTTCCTTTTTCACCTTTCTGGCCAGGGTCTGAGCTGTGTGCTCATGTGTTTAGTAACTGCAGCCTTTATGGGCAAAGGTAGATGCCCTCCTCTATCCCCTTTGACTCCACCAGCGCTCAGATTTTTTCACTTCATGAACTTTATTGTAAACATGTATCCCCTGGACTGTTTTACTGACCAGACTGGGAGTCACGTGTAATCATTATTAAAATCTGATATTTATTGAATACCTACTAGATGCCAGGTGCCATGCTTGGTGTTTCATTTATAGTATCTATAGTCTTTACCATAGCTTTTCAAAGTATATATAATTATCCCCATTTATCAGTGAGAAAACTGAGTAAAAGATGATCACTTACCCATCATCATTCACTCATTTGGTAAGTATTTACTGCAGGCTTACGTGCCAGGGCTTGTGTTGGATGCTGTGGGCAATCATGACGAACAAAACTGATACCACTCCTGCCCTTATGAACTAACAGACGAGTGGGAGAGGTGATATTCAGCAAATAATTTCACAGCCCGAAGCTGGTGTAATGTAGCCTAGAACCTACTCAGCTGCCTCGATGCGAACCTACCTTGAACATTTATTAGCTAGCTGACCTTGCTGCTCAGCTGCCTCGGTGCAAACCTACCTTGAACATTTATTAGCTAGCTGACCTTGGACAAGTCTCTTAACCTCGCTACACCTCATCTTCATCTTCTGTAAAAAGAGGATAATAGTAACTACCAACTTTATAGGGCTACTAGGAAGAGTGAGGGAATTAGCATACATAAAGCCCTCAAAGCAGGGTCTTGTACGTTGCAGGTGTATTGTTGCTGCTGGTGGAATGAAGGAGAGGCTTAGGGTGCTGGACATATACAATAGGGCAGGACCTACTTCCAGTGACATCTGATTGAGTTCTACAAGATGAATAGGAGTTATTTTGGCAAAGTGTGGCAGGGCGACAGGGTGGAGCAGGGTGTTGAAGGGATGTTCCAGGCAGAGGGAACAGCATGTGCAAAGCACAGAGATTGGGCTCACCTGAGGGACTGCATGGAGTGTGGCTGGAACACAGCAACTGGGGAGTCGTACAGGATCGGCATCTGGGAGGGAGGAGCCTGAGACAGAAATACAGCTGTCTGCAGGATCTGGGCTCTACACCACTCCAGGCCATGGGAGATGCTCGGTAAGTGTTCGTAGCGTGAGCAAACAAGCACATTCTCCCATGACATAGGCTGGAACACAGCAACTGGGGAGTCGTACAGGATCCGCATCTGGGAGGGAGGAGCCTGAGACAGAAATAGAGCTGTCTGCAGGATCTGGGCTCTACACCACACTGATCCAGGCCGTGGGAGATGCTCAGTAAGTGTTCATAGTGTGAGCAAACAAGCACATTCTCCCATTATATCGTGATGGGTGGTCAGTCCCATCACCACTGTCAAGCTGTACACATCCATTTTGCTGACTCCTCTCTTTTTGGCAATAGACTGAAACATGTGGGTTTGGATGGGGACCTTCGACACCTGGGACTCTCCAAGGTGGCTGCAGCTAGAATCCCTACTCTGCAGTCACGGCCTCAGACCTAAGCCAGTGGTGTTCAGACTACTTTAGTAGTGGAAGTTCGTGTTGAAATAATCTTAGAGGAAACCCAGCATATGGAATGGGGACACACAGAGCTTCCACAGTCGAGCCACAGGCATAGGAACGCAGAACACTCGGCCATGTCTGGTGCACCAGAGAGAATGCTAGGGCTCCAGAAAGCACAGTTAGAAAACCAAGGCTTGAGCCTAACCCCCATTTTCCAGATGTGGAAACTAAGGCCTGGAGAGGGGCTGACTACCAAGGTCACACAACTAGGGACAGACCTAGAACTGAATCCCAGACATTTGGTATCAGTTGGGTTACACCGGGATTTTCCTCCACACCACCCTGACTGCCCCCCATGCCCCTTCAGCGTGGGGTCTCGCGATGGGCGAGGGGCATGTGGCTGTGATCTGGTCAAGTGTCCAGCCTCCAGCCCCAGTCAGGGCATAGAGCACGGGAGTCAAAAACCCTGAGGGCAGGCGTGGGTGGGGTGTTCGGGTTCACGACCTGGTAATACCGTGTCTTGTTCTCTCTCTTTTAATTGAGTTTGAGGTGGTTGGTTTTTGTTTCCTTAAGAAATGGAAAAGAATGAAGCTGCGTAAACACGACGGTGTTAACTCCCCGAAAAACCTCCTGCCATTTTAACTCTGTTACTGGAGAAATAAAAGAGAAATAATTTGTCCACCCACACTTAGCTCTTTCTGACGAAGGTAGGTGAATATTGCTTTGCTAATCGAGGGTGACTGCTGGAAGTGGAGCCACGCTGACTGATCCCGGATTGAGAGGAAACCACAGCAGCCCCAGAAGGAGCAGCCCACCGTGGGTCAGCAGGGCCCGAGTCATCGGCCCGCTGTCCGCCTTCCACAGGTCTCCCCCAGCCGGTAGTGATGGAGGCGCTGGACCAGGCCGAAGGGCTCACGGACTCGCAGAGAGAGATGCCACTGCCCCCATCTCCTTCACCGCCCTCAGAGCCAGCTCAGAAGCCACCACCTCAAGGCACCGGGAGCCACTCCCTCACTGTCAGGAGCAGCCTCTGCCTGTTAGCTGCCTCCCAATTCCTGGTAAGGACATCGCAGGCCTCGTGAGGGCCTGCACAGAGTGTGGGTTGAGGGACATCCTTCCACTTCCTCCCCAAGATGGCCACCTGGGGTACAGAGAGATGAGGGGCCTTCTTGGTGTTCCTCAGTGACTCCCAGCCTTTGGGCTGGCATGAGGAGAAGCCTGGAGTTCTGAGCTACAGCCTTGATAGCTAAGCCCCTTACACCCTGCCCTCCCTAACCCCAGAAGCAGAAACACAGCCCTTCCCAACCCCCTAATCCTGCAGGCGTCTCTCTGAGGACTTCCTGTCTATGAAGCCAACTCTGGGAGACTTGCTTTTTTATATATGTAACTAAGGGGTCCCCTCTAGGAAGAGCTTTCTCTTGGCTCCCTTCAGTCCACTTTTCTCCTGAGGCCTTCTCTGGGGGGCCAGGTTGAGGCGGAAGGTAAGCTCTGTGGGTGAGAATATAGGGGTGTGGAGCTCAAGCTGAACTCAGTCCGCTTGTCTCAGCTTGCCTGCGGGATGCTCTGGCTCAGCGGCTATGGCCCCATCTGGTCACAGAATGCCACAGACCTCTTCTCCTCCTTGCTCGCACTTCTGGAGCAGCTGGGACCCATGGTGAGTAAGCTCTGGGGACCCCGCCTCCAGGATAGGAGGGAGCAGTTGGGGCCTGGTCCAGTCCCATCAACCCCGCTGGGGCTTCTCTGAGTTCAGAAGATACTACCGCACCCCTGAAGCACTTCTCCCTGCTCCCCACCCAGACTAGTCCAAAGTTTTAAGACTCTCGGTTCTGTCCCATTGAAACAGGTGAGATCTCTTCCTCCCACCACCTTGACCTGTTTGTCTGATGTCCCCCAGGCCTGGCTGGGCAGCGGGACCTGGGAAGTCCTCAGTCTGCTGTTGGTTTCTCTGTCTGTGGTCCTCGTTACCGCCCTGGTAAGGTGCCTCCTGACCCGACCTCAGTGCTCCCCTCCTGTGACGCTGAGGCTGATCCCCACCGGCTCCCACGTGACCAACAGACTAGACGTTCTGGATAGGGCCGAGAACAGGGTATCTGTCTGCTTCAACCAGTGTGTCCAGCCTGGAGTGAGAGGCGCTTTCTTTCTTGAAAGTGGTTTGCACTGTTCTAGGCTAGGAAAAGAAGCTGAGGCAAAGAGAAGAGTGGAGTAGGAACCCCCATACCCCACCAAGAAGCCCTCAATCCACCAGCAGCTGAGGTTTGGAGGAGGGAGGGGGCAGGAAGGACAAGATGGGGAGCAGAGCCTTCCACCTAGGTGAGGGGCAGTGCCTTGCACATAGCTCCTAGGAGAGCTGGACTGCTCTAGACACGTCAAGGCGCAGGGAGCTCAATCCCATGGGTAGCCCATCAGCCAGGGGCTGGCGGCATGGTCCCAGGTCCATGATACCATGTACCCCCAACTAGGTGTGGCACCTTCTGAGGGCTCCCCCAGAGCCACCCACCCCACTGCCCCCTGAGGACAGGCGCCAGTCGGTGAGCCGCCAGCCCTCCTTCACCTACTCCGAGTGGATGGAGGAGAAGGTAGAGGATGACTTCCTGGACCTGGATGCCGTCCCTGAGACTCCCGTGTTTGACTGCGTGATGGACATCAAGCCTGAGACTGACCCCGCCTCACTGACCGTCAAGTCCATGGGTCTGCAGGAGAGGTGGGAGGGGTGGAGGAGGGGTGGGCTCTATGGGCCCTGGAGCCCTCATCTCCCGATCAGAAGGGCAGATGCCTGACTGTAACTCCCAGTGCCCAGGACTGAGCTGCCCTCATAGCTTAGCCAGTGTAGACACATGCTCTTCAGGTCTGATGGACTTAGATAAGAATGCCCCAAGTGAATGCTAAGAAACACTATTGCTGCACACAAACACATAGGCATACGCAAGTGTGTACACAGGCACACTCGCACATACACTCCTGTGCTCAAGAAAGTTTGGGTAGGTTTTTTCACTGCAGGAGTTTAACATGCTTGCGTTTGTCGTAAATCAACAAA